TGCTCACTTACTAAGCAGCACTTCACACGAAGAAAGAATTTCACTGGGGCACCAAACTCTATATTGGTATTTTGTTTTGCTTTTTAAATTAATTTCAGGAAACAGGTGAAATGAGTTTCACCTACAAGTCCAAAGAGTTTGGAAACAAATGCCCTTACTCATTTTCTTACACTGTGAGCCACACAAGACCTGGAAATTTTACTTTGAGTGTTATGTTGTTCACTGTATCTACCTTAAAAGAATCTCCTGCTCTTTGTAGTCTGGATTTTAACCTTAGTGTAGACATGCACCTTAGTGTAAATGCCCAGAGGACCATGTGGTCACTGTGCATTGATCACTAATGACAATCAGTGGTCTTGTACCAGTGGGTCTTGCCCTGAATACATGACTTTTTGTGGGTGCAGAAAGAAACAGCTGTACCACCAAAGACAGGATTTTCCTGACTCCGTGAGGTTTGACAACTGTCATGCTGTCCATGAGGCTTACCCAATAGCTCTCACCTCCAGCTTACTCAGATACTGACCTGGACTCACAACCGCTTTGCACTGCGCTGCAACTTCATTCCTTCCTCAGGCTGCATTTGGAGTAAGGAGTCCCATGAAGCTCAGTTAGGATATCCAACCATATTTAAGCAGGCTGGGAAGTCTGTTTCATTATTAGTTATTAGGAAGTTTGTTTTTGTTATAGCAGTTCATTATTGACAACATGGGGCAAAATGTCCCAACATCTCTGAAAACAGGCCTACCTACAGTTCAGCATACAATGCTAAGAGGAGTTAACAGTGCAGTTAACATCAAATAATGCCGTTTGTTTTGCTGTGGTGAAGTAATAACAACACGGTGATGCCACTGGGAACAATGGCAATTACACAGCAAGTTGCTTTAGCACTACTGCATCATTACAGCTTGATAATATGCAATCAAAACTTTATTAGCAATCAGCAGCAGCATCTATTATTCATTGCTTAGATCGAGCTAAGAAGGGGAAGGCTGCATGCACACCAGAAACAGGACTCTGAGCCAGTCTAAGCACAGAATTGGAAGCCAATTCCATGGCCATACCATGCTGAGTCACTGCATAACCTTCAGCAATCAGTTACCATCTCGGTTGTCCCATGTATAAAATACAGTACTTATCATAATATACATATATATATATTTCCAAGAGACATTATTAGGACTAATTAACTTGGCTGTACAGATAAGTGTTAGAATTAATTTTTTAGCAGCTACCAATTCAAAGTTAAATATTTGATTGTAAGATTCAAGGGCATACATCTAAAACTGCAAGCATGCACCATATGCAAGCAGGCACCTGAGGTTGTAAAATATATGCACCTATATATTTACGCACAAACTGGTCCATAAAGCATAAGAAAACACATACTCAAGTATCTGTTATCCTAAATAGTCTGTTTGATTCAAGGCCTTCATACTGTAAACATGCTGGATAAAGATGTGTGTGGACTCTGACAGGAATAGTGCTAGTACGCAAAGTATCTTCAATATATGCTCAATGTGCGAAGATAATTTTAGTACCTGAATTTCAAGTTTTAGTCACAGTATCAATTTTTGCATTATGCTAATGAGGCCTAACATGACAACCAACCTGTATTCCCAATACATACTGTGTTTTAGAAACTCTAAAAATAAACCTGAAGACAATCTTCTGTTCCTTCTCAATAAGTTATTTTAATTTATATTCAAGATGCAACCAATGTAATCTCTGTTTATTTCCCTACCTTATTTTGAGTCAAATAACGATACAATTTACCCCAACCTTAACAATTACTTAATAAGCAAATTAGCAAAGTATCATAAATAGCTGACTAGAGAAGCACACCCTGGTGTTTTCTATCCACATGCTTCCAGCAAGATATATGCCTCCACCTCTTCAGTGTAACCAGACATGACTGATACTAGTAAAAAGTTGTTAAGACTTTCATTATACAGCACCATTTTCCCTGTTTATTCAACAATGGAAAAATTCCAAGGTAATTAAAATTTAGGCCTCCCAATCCTGTAACCTGACTTGTGTAGGCAACCCTAAATTACCTACACAAATTAACAATGCGCTGCAGAGGCACAGAAGTTTGTCTTTAAAAAAATAATAAAAAAATAAAATTCAATCTATCTTCTTCACATAAAGCCCTCTGACTGGTGTTTTTCCTCACCATTTGCATTACTCTTAAAAGTCTGACTGCAACTCCAAGGTCACTAAGAACAAATAAGCATGCCTGGGCCACTGAGTCACCCTTCCCTTCTCATTCCCTGTTCCACTAATCAAGGAAAAAAAAAATAATTCTTTTGAGTAATGGGAGAAAAAGAAAAAGAATAAGAGAAAATATGTTTTAGAGGAAGAAAAGAACAATGCAGTTTCAAGAAACAAAAGAATCAATAAATGCCAAGCTAGAATAATATTTACTGATTGGCGAGATAAAAGTAGGAGATTAACAACATTAAAAAATTAACCTGGTGGGGATTGATCAAGTTATAAGACAAGTTTATTTTCACTTAGAGACTTAGAGAATATGAAGTGTCTGGTATGATCTAGGCAGACAAGATAGAAAAAAGAAAAATACCGGACTGATTCAGGAAATAGCTGGACAGGATCTATTCGCACAAGGGCACAGAAACTGCACAAAAATTAATGGCTTTTGTCCACTGATAAAAAACCCTACTCCATTCTTCACACCTGTTTTACTGTATATTTGTTCTGATGCAAATGAGAGGAATGCAAAACAGAAACAAACAAGTTTAAAAATATATACACTGGGCATTCTGGGCAGGCTGCCAATGCGAGTACAACACCTCAGCTCCATCAGCAAACATGGAGCTTCATCAATTTACACCCAACCATTTTACACACAGAAAAACATGAAAGTTCCCTGACTTCACGGGCAGTATTTATTTTTATTTTATTTAATACAAATAATGAGCTACATCTCAACAGAGAGAGGCAGTATTTGATATTTTTGCACCAGTTGGTGCCATTTGTGTTTTTCCAGAGCCAGGAACTTTGTAACTCCCCGAGTCTGACAACCACACAGGCTGCTTTTACACCACAGTGGGCAAAGGTGGAGGAAGGAGGTGAGCCCAGAGCAGAACATATCTAGGGATTGATCAGCTACGTGCCCTGTCTCAAGTGATAATCTTAAGCACTTGCTTCCTTTGAGCTTTCCCATCCTAGTTTTATAAACAACCAAGGCATCTGGTACATCTATTCCTTGTAAGTAAAAGGCCCTGATTTCCCTATGATGCATATGCTAGCATCAATTTTATTTCAATGCAGTTCACACCAGTTCTTCTTTACACCAGCTGTCAGCAAGGTCTGAATGACCTTGTTTAAAGTGTTTATGTTCTCAAAAGAAAGCAACACTATCTGAAGCCTGTTTTATGTTTATTTTGAAAGACCAGAGAGTTTATTTTGAAGAGTCTGACTGAATAAGTTTAAAAGACTTCTACAACAGATTACACTGAATTGCAGATAGCAAAACTTGAAACACTGCACATGTTGTGTAGGCCAGGGGCTTGTAACAGGAAGCAATGTGTGCTTACGCAATTATGGGAGTATCCAAATTGCCATTTGGTTGTCTTCTTTGCACAAGATGTTGGACAAAAATTAAAACAGAAACAAATGTACAATTCATTTCACATCTTGTAAGTTTAAAGGATAATTACAAATGAACAACCGTCATAGCCCTAAAAAAGCCAATCCTGACCAATAACAAGCAGTCTTCATTTGATCTTAACCGTCTTTCCCGAATACCCCCTTTTTTATGACTAGAAGTTAATTTTTAACTTGAGAATACCCTTGTGCTGCATGGACCACTGCCCCTGGCCAGAGTGTACTGCTCAGCTCCTAGTATGACTATAAGATATTGCAAAAATACACTGTCGCTATGAGAAATTCCTCAAGGTTAAAACAACGCAGCCTCCTTCAAAACAAGCAACAAGGCTGGTGTGCAGCATGTCCCGGTCACAGAATTTTCCAGCCCCCAATTCCCTTGCACACTCATTTTCTTGCATTGTCTCTGTAAAGCTTCTTACACACACAGATGAAGGTTGAGACCCCATACAATCCAGTAAGTTTACAAGTGTCTAAGCCACAGGGTATTAGACAACTCATTTGTTTATAGACCTGAAGCTTACGAACTACATAAGAACTTCACATAGGACCCCTCAAGAAAATCTCCTGTCATTTATAACTATTTAAATATCCCAGCAGAATATTTCAAGAATATTTCTACTCCTACAGATAACCCAGTAAGACTACCATAGCAAACATTGGTGCAATATTATATTTATTAATAACAGTGAAATACTTTCACTTTTGAAGTGTACATAAATGGGTCTAGCAAAAATTTTTGGTGGAATATTTATATAGATACACAGAAAAACAGAGCACAAAAAGCCCACTTGGCAAAACAAAACTAACACACAAGCAGATAACCAGTACGACTGATATCTTAATTCATGAATGTTAAGGAAATAAGAATCAATTTAGAAATTTATTTGGATTACTATGTATTCCCAGTTGTCATAAGACACAATATAAACTGCACTGGTCCTACATTTCATCCATCATGACTGCTTCCAAATCAAGATTATTTACTAACCTCAATACAGTACTCAAGAGCAGTAAGAACTCCCAACAGAGACATCCCAAAACAATAGGTATTTCTAAGTTTTTAAGTAATTTTGATGCAAAATATCTAAGAAAAGGAAAAGAATGGCATCTTGCAAAGTGGCATCAGGAAGGTACCTCATACTCTCTTATCACTGTTTGTGTCTGCTGTTAAAACTCATTTCAAACTCCTTGTTATTGAACATCAGGAACTGCATTTAAAGAAGAGGATTAAGGGCTGATGACAATCTAAATAATCTTTCTATATTAGCATCAGTCAGCTACCAACTCAATTCAGTTTCAAAAGGGAAAAAAAGAGACAGATTTACTCTGAGAACAGAGGGGAAAGGTTACAGGAAAACTAGATAACTTACCTCCATAAAGAGCTCTCCAGCACTTTCCCCATGTCAGTATGATAATACTTGGTAAGGATCAGGATCACCTAAAAAGCAAATGAGAATAAATATCTTTATATACATAAACTGATATAAGAAACAGAAGTATATCATGGGCAACATTATTCTGGTTAATACAAAAGTGCGGGTCCTGAAAATCTGAACTGTATTTCACTTTATTTTTACCTCTTACCAGTTTTGCCTTTGGACTGGTTTGTTTTTGGTTTTTTTTTCCCCTTTCTCTTTCTGAGAAGAGTGATTTCAGCACTCAAAGTTTTCTGCAAACTTGGGGACTTTATAAAAGATTGCCCATTTCACATGAGCAGTGGAGTTGGAATAGTCATATAAATCCCACACACACATGACAGCCCCAAGCAATTTGTATGACTTTCTCAGCAGGAAGGACCAATCTGATTGATACTTTAAATTTAGGAGGCAACTCTCTTGGACATCTACTGACACATTTTTTTTCTTTTAATCCGAAGTGTTAAACAATGGTGTTTAACTTTGATTATGCAGATAAATTCAGGCAGAAAATGAGCTCTGGTCTTCCCTACAAGATGAGAAATGCAACTTTCATGTCTGTCATTTTTCATTCCTAGAAGTATCACTTTTTTCCTTCAAGAACCAGCTCTGTGCTCTGTGAATTACTCATCTACATCACCAAAAGCCAGCAAAATACACAAGCAAATTTTATCCATAAAACATCTTCAACCTAGGAGAAGAGTCAGCAAGAATCACTTTCCATTCACTCATCATCTGACAAATTCACTGGTCAAACAACGTAAAGCACTAGTCCATGACTGGTGTATCAAGCTGAATGCTATGTTTTATATTTAGATCATTTAAAACAGATTTCTTTCTGTTTCCAGTCCATAATAGTGGTTCTTATACCCACGTTCCCATAGCAACCCCACAGAGGTAGAACATGAAGAACCTCTGGTTTCTTGCACAGCTGTTGGCTTGCTTTAATGCGGGGTCAACGTCAGTCTCCAACAGTTTGGAGCATGCTGTTATTTAGCTGGCACATTGTCTGTTCCTGACCAACAGATGAAATCTCCAGCAAACAGCAACTGTAGGCATTCACTTTGATTATTCAGATAATTAATATGCTGATGATACATTTATGCTGCAGTCTCTGTATGCTGGAGCTTGTGAGGGAACAGAATTCCAGGCCATGGGTGTTATGCACAAGGTGTTTTGGAAATAACACAATGTTTTGCAGAACTGAGCTATAATGCCAGCCTCACTCAGGGCTATCTAAGCCTAATAAATTCACAACACATATTGCTGGATGTATATTGATATAAGTAAAAGCAAAATCAATCCATAATTTACAAATATTCTCAAAAGAGTCATAATCTACCAGACCACTTTGTTGGAATTTGATGTATAAAAATACAGACTTGGTTTAAAATAAAGCAAGAAACTAAAAAAATAAAATCTTTTACTTTCAAAGAGGTTACTACAAGATTTACAAAGCCAAGAGAAAGAACCATTTCCCAAAGGAAAGAGTATCTACTGATGAGATTCCTGGCTACAGCCTAAGCATACTCCATCAGGTCAGCTATTTATTCTATTGTCAGTGTCTTAACTACAGCTTTCTGCTGGTGATTGCAATTAAGGACAAAAAGAGAAACTTCACTACTAGGAGCATATATTGGCTCCAATTATTAAAGAAAAAGTTTCAGACTGTGCGTTCCTGAACAACTGATAACCTTCTTGGGCCACAAAAATTGACCCAGAAGGGTTTTTTTAAGAGATACCAGAATGCATATTTGGTGCATGAAAAATAATAAGGAAAATATTCAAAAATATAAGAGATTACACTTAGTTTCCTTACATTCATACAGAACTGAAAACTGAATCCTGAAACTAGTGAGCCAGCTTTTTTCATCCCTGTACAACCTACAATCATAACTTTCAAAATTCAGATGATTTGCAGCAATGTATGTTGGAGCCACCTTGCCGCAGGGTAAACCCAATGTCTCATTCCTGAATTAAACTGGTTACTAGCACACACAGAAGATCCTACTGGGTTACCCTCAGTTCACCCGATTTTAACTTAACCTTTATGGAAACATCAACAAAGCACCTGCCAAAAAAGCCATTTCTGTAACTCAGCACCTGTTCTAAGTGTTAAAGACTTTCAAGAACAAGGAGTGGGCTCACTGTACTGGTTGCTGGTGGCATTTCATCTTAGGAGATGCACACACCAAATGGAAAAGCTACTATTGTTTCATACACTTCAGATTAATGGCTTTCAGGTAATTGCAATCCTCATTGGGGACCTGCCATATGGAGCAAGATGTCTTATTTGCACTGCAGGATCAGTGCCTTAATCTGAATCATAGCTCTGAAAACAGCTGTCAGTATTTTCCATTCTGACTGGTAAATTCATTCAGAAATTAAAATACCTTATTTTGCATTTCAGAAGTATGGAGAATGACTTAGTAGGAAAAACAAAGCCAAAATGAAACATCTTTGAATTCTTAAACACTGTTAGCAGATTCCTGTCACAATCCAAGAAGCACGAGGCTGCCAGGGTGCTGACCACTATTTCAACTATGCTATTGGATTTTGTCCCAATATCCAAAAAATGTAGGTCAGCTATTTAACAGATTTTAAAGCATTGTTTCTCTGGATTGTGGGCATCTTTTCAGGCTAAATAGCAATCCTACTAACTGGAACAGTGTTTTTTCCTCAATTAATAAACAGATCCAAGGAACAGGAGGAATCATTTCACAATGAAAACATAAAAGTCATCAGGATCTCTGGATTCTGTGCATCATTTGTAAGAGCAGAGCCCGTTTCCCTGATTTCCTTTCAATGGGACTCTGTAATTACAAGCATTTTACCGGTTGGATGGAAGCCAATGGTTCATACACACACGACTGTCCTAGTGAAAGCACTTGGGTGGCCTGGAGATGGAGAGAGGCTTGAAGCACAGCAGCAACTGAGTAACAATCAAGGGTATGATTCTTAACCCGCTCATACTACCATCAGTCATGGACAGCTAAAATAAATTTAGCTTTTTTGTATTATTATTTTATAGCTAAAATAAATGTAGGCTATGGAGGAGAATTAGACTCACCGGATTCTTTATTTAAAGATGGATTTACAGGGTTACTTAGAGATCTCCTAGTCTATCCAGTGTCCTGTTTTATGAGAAGGCTTGTGAAAACATTTTAAACCATTTCATCTTAAATTCACCCTGAGTTCTTTGAGTTAATATGCACAGTATGTCAATGGAAGTGGCAACAACAATTCACTGTTGTGTGCTAGAGATCTACAAACACCTGCTGGTGATTCTGTTCAAATACACCTAAGAAATGTATCCCTTCTGCTTTCATTGCCCTGAAACAAAAGTCCCTAAGTATTTCTCCTTCTCCGATCCCTCAGACATGTTTGTTACCAATAACATGGTCAAGGCCTTTCTACCTTCAACCCCTAAAGAAGGAAAATGTTAATGAAGCTCAGAGATTGGAATTTGGGTTGTTTGGGGTTTTAAAGTAAAGACAAGTAAAAATACATACATACTTTGGTCCAAAATAAACACATGCTTGCCTGGTACAGACCCCTTGCTCAGTATTTGAGTGTCACAGACTTCTCTACGGAGCAGTCCTTCCTACATCTTACCACTTTTTGATTGTCTTTCTACTGCTTGCTCTGATCCCAGCACCTTCTGCCCCTTTGCAGCAAGATGCAGACCACTGCAGTTTCACAGGAACAGAACATTTCTAATATTCTTCAGGAACATTAGAATAAACAGAGCATCATATCTCCATCGTAACTTCCCTGCCTGTTTTCCTGCATAGAATTCAGGAGACAATATTATCACTCTTTCCTTTCCAATAAATTTTATTTTGATACTACATGACAGGCATACACCAACCATGTCACGCAGTACAAATTCAAAATAAAAAATGAAAAATGGAAAATGAAAACTTTCAGCTTTTGTCACAAAAGCACTGCTCTCTTATTCGTTTCTTTACTAAAAGCCTTGACCTCTCCATACAGCCAGATTTGGCCATTATTTCTCCATATGGACCAAGGAATAGAAGATAAATCCCTTAGGATTCCAAAAGACATAGAGGCTTTTGATTCTCACGTGCCATTCCCCTGCTTTCATAATTTAATTTCTGCCTGGGTGCTTTGTTATGGTAGTTACAGCTCAAAACTGTTCTCCAAACAAAAGAGTTGTAGCTGTTTCTGACCCAAAAATCCTTTCTAGAGATAGACATGTCTTCAGTTTTCAGTGAATGATGGACAGGAAAAACAAATGGAAAATTTCACAGATACTATTGTCCATAAATAATTAAAGCTGGAATGATCTATGTTTTCCCCCCTTTTCTCTTGCTGTCTTCTGAAAATGCTCTGCAGCAATGCTGGACCAAAAAGAGCAAATCTTCACTTTAAAAGATACAATGCTCTTTTAATCATTTCCTAATAAAATTTTGTCTTTAAAGAAATCCATTTTAATCCTCTCTTTTAATCACCATGTCACCTAAGAAGGGCGAGAAAGGAAAAAGGGACAAATTCTAGATCAATCACTTTCTCTGGTATTTATATTTTATCTTTGTTTTTTTTTTTTTTCCATTTTCTGTGAAGGATTTGCTAGGATCCTTCTCTTTTTCATAAACATTGACTTATGGAAAAAAATCTTTTTTTTTTTTTCCCCCCATGCTCCCTCCACGATGTTTTCTTTCATGGCCCATTCTTAACATAGATCTCTCTTTATCTACATGAAGATTCTTATGTATTAAGCTTTATTCGATGCCTGCCATTTGTCGTTTGAAGTAAATTTTTTGGTCATCTATTCAGAAGTTTAACAGCAAAAGACTCATACTTTCAAATATATAATTGCAAGTATGATTTCAAGTTTTTGTGTTTTCCCAAGTTTATTAGAAAGTGAAAGCACACTATAAATACTTCCGTGCAGTCAGAGCTACCAGGGAAATATACTGCTCAGACACACTCAAGTTCCTGCATACTTTTTAACATCTGCTTAATTTAATTCATGCGAACGAACCCACTGAAA